GGAAAACTCCAGCCCCCTGTCGCCCTAGACGGCCCCTTTCTCCGTCGGCACTTAGGCCCCGCCCCTAGGACCTGACTCCGCCCTTGGGCCCACAGCGCGGCTGGGCGGTCTAGGCCCCGCCCCTATCGGTCCGGCTCCGCCCCCGAGCCCCGCCCCCGCCAGGGCCAGCACTCACTCAGCGGGGACCCAGCGCTCTGGGGTTCCGGCCGCGCCTGGGGGCGGCGCTGCTGCAAAAATCGAATGCTGTTGCGGCGGTAGGAGTCCTGGCTGAGGCGCTTCCGAGACCGCGGGTGGATGCTGTGTGCGTTGCGAATGGAGGATCTGGACCGGGCAGGACAGAGGTCAGTCAGAGCCCCGGCCACCCCCTGCGCCTCGCATCTGCACTCCCGGACTCAGATGGCCTCTCCTGGGGCCCAAAGGCTGGCTCGAGATAGTGGGGAGCAGTAGGGGGAGGGGATAGCGACGCGGACCCCGGCTCTGCCCCTGCTGGCCACAGCTCCCCCTCCCACCGCCGTCCCTCTCCAGCCCTTAGGACTTCTCCGCTCATCCGGACCACTGGCCCCCTGCCTGCCTTCTGCCTTGGAGGGCACGTCCAGCCGCTGGATCTGATGAGAGTCCTGCCAGGCTGGCAGCCCCAGCAGGTCTTCCTGGGCCAGGCCCTGCAGATCCCGTCCAGACCCGCCTGTTCAGACCCGCCTGCCCCGGGACCCTACTTCACCTGCGGGGCGGCGCGCCTCGCTTCTTGATCTCCCGTCCGGCCTGGGCCAGGTCCTGCCCGGACTTTTGCAGGTATATGGACGGGAAGTACCCTGTGGTGTCCTCTTTCCTGCAAACACGACATCCCTTGAGCCCTAGCCAGCAGTCTCTGGGTGCTCAGAGGGCCTGGGCAGTGCCCAGGGTGGGGGTTCCGCCTACCACAACAGACTGCCCTTCTTCCTCAGCTTCTTTTTTTGTACAACGTAGGACCTCCCAGATCAAAATGTTCCTCCTCTTCCTTTCAAAACGGCATCCAGGGAAAAATCCCGATCTCCCCAGAGGCCATGTTTGTCAAAAAGTATCTGCGAGGTTATGATTGTCAGGGTATTTTTCTTCCCGGTCATGGCGTTCTGTGTCAAAAGGAATGTCTGTGTACCTTCAAGTCACCATGTTCGTCTCCTACATTTTTTTCCAAAAGTTCTTTTAGGATTTGGTATTATACTTAGTAAAACCTGTAATCCTATTCCAAATGAATGTTTGTGGATGGTGTGAGGTTGGGGGGGTGGTGTCTCGACTCGCTCCCCGCCCCCCATCTGGATAGCCACCCCGTTTGTGGGAGATTTTTCTTTTCCATTCTTCATAGCATATCTGGAGATCTATTTATTTATATATCTTTCTTTTACCTAATATCAACTAGACACCGAATTCTTGCTCATGAGAGAATGACAAACTGATTCTCAGGGGTGCATGCGAGGCGTTAACTGGAGGCCAGAAACAGGGCGTCAAAATGCCCTAAAGCTGAATGCCCCGACAGCTTGGCCCCATCCTGGGGACCTGTTTGTGGAGCCTTGGACAGGGCCTCGGGTCCAGAGCCCTGTGCCAACCAGCAAGGACCTTGGCTGGTGGCAGGAGGGGACGTGGCAAGTCCTCTATCTGGGATTCTGTCTTTCCTCGAACCAAGAAAACGATCATCCTGAGTATTCCTAACGTCTGCCAGAGCAATAAACCAGTGGACGGTGTGCCTCTGCCTGCTACTGGAGGCGGGAATCGATCCATCATTGAGCTGGGTGCGCAGGGCAGGAATAAGAAGAGATGGACTAGCCAGGGAACAAACCCCAAAGGTGCAAAGGAAAGAGGGACATCTTCTGACAAGGATATCCAAGCAAGGGGGGCTACTACTATCTGGGGGAGATGGGGGGAGCCAGGCTTAGAGAAGGGCAGTGGCTTGCTGAGTCATGCAGCCGAGTGAATCTAGAGTTTGGGGCTGGCTCTCAGTGGGGCGTGGGGAGGATCTCCTACCTGACCACCCACCAGCCATCCAGAAGCTTGTGAATGACCTCGATGGTCTCCCCCTCATCCAGAGACACCTCGTCTTCCTCCACAGCGGTGTAGGCTTTGACAGTGACATAGAGCTCACCTGGTCCAGGGACAGGAGATTAGGGGTGGGGGGGAAGCCATCTCACCTGGGTCCAAGACCCACATCGTGTCCCCAAAACTCAGTGCTGTAAATCCTAATCGGGTGGGGAGGCCTGGGGTTCCGCTGGGCACCGGGTCTTGTGTAAACAGCTTCTTGGCCAAGATCAGGCAGAGTGCAAAGGGCCAGGGTGGCTCTGGGACTTCCCCCAGCCTAGCGCCAGGCCTGGGCTGACCCTACAAACATCCCCAAAGACAGATGACACAGACTAGCAACTTTTATTCAGCAGGTGGGGCAGGGCCCTGGGGCGTGTTATCTACAGGAGGGGCCCTGGGGGGCCAGGAGCCGGAGGAGGGGCGGCGTCCCTTCAGACGGCCGGCGCCAGCTTCCGCTTGGTGCTGTCGCTACAGCGGTGCAGGATGAGGTCCGCGCTGGGCCGCGGGGGGACCGCCGGCTGCGGCTTAGCTCGCTCCTGGGAAGGACGCTCCTCTGCGGACAGACGGGGCGGACGTG